GGACCCGAATTTACAGAACTACCCACCTGACGGCCCGATCAATTCATCAGGCCCAGGCCTGTCTTGTCCACACAGCAGGAGTTCCTTATAGTACTGGCGGCCACGCCCATCGCTCCTGCCGAAGCATTAAGCGCAAGCATCGACATGCTCTGGAACTGTTCTACAGGGAAAAAGAGAGACGTTGAAAAGCAGATGGACCGTAGGGCGGCGGGATGATGCTGAAACTACGACGACGATCACGCCCACCGGCTGTTGGCGATTCTGTGCTGCCAGTAGCATAGTACTAGTACCTAGTAGCGGTAGAAGTAGGATGATGTAGGATGCATGCAGTCAGTACAAACAACCATAAAAAATCAGTACAGGTACGATGCACCGGAAATCATGGCTTTTCCAGCTGGCGAGCAAAGAGAGGCAGTAGTGTCCCAAACAGTCGCCGTCGAACTTCACATGTTGGCTAGTACTGGTGTTGGCAGGAAGAGGGAAGCAATACGACCAATGCCAGGCGGCTGCAACTCCTTACTTGGAGGTTCATGGGTANNGCTATAGTTACCCTACTTCTAATCCCCCCTGTAACTACCCGTGAACCTCCCAGTATGCTCATGGATTCACAGAAGAGTCTACGTTCCACTAGTTTTTTACCGGACTCCTGCGAGTTGCAGGCTGCAGGTCAGAAATGGCGATCGGTTTATGAGCTCAGCCTCAGCCCTTCCACTTGGAGTCCAATAATCGTGGTAATCGGCATGTTGAGAGAATGTGAAAGAGGAGTCAACCCATTTCCGTAGAACAATCGTGCAGATCACAGTCGTAGACGTAGGTGGAACCTGTCAGTGCTCAGCATCTGCTCGTACCCACAAAACCGCAAACAAATGGAGAATACAAGAGTGAACTTGCTCTACAGATCAGTATGTAGAGTTCTGTAAACCTTGAGCTAGCAATCACTAGTACATGTGAGCATAGCACCCATTTCAAGGATCTGCCCAACAAGATGCTGTGAGCCAAGGTCGGTCAGCGGGTTGTAGGCGAAAAGAGCCGACTTCATTGAAGAAAGGCTTGAATTCATTAATGAGGTGGCTTTCCACATTCTGATGCGCGGGATGGAGTGTGATTCTGTAGGATTGCTCGTCGTTCGGTTCACATTGCTAGTGAGCTGCCAGCGTTGGCAAGTCATTTGCCAGCTCATCTTGAGCAGCCATGTGGAAGACGTTCATGCTACGAGTAGCATCTCAGATCATGCAGTAAGCAGAAGCTGCTACGAATCACAGTGCGTAGAATCGGGCCTACAAGCCAGCTCCGAATCAGTGACATGCAGGTTTAGGATGCAACCCATGCATCCAGGGATGTCATGTTGGAACCAAGGCCACAGCTTTCTCAGCACCGATGAGTCCATCAACCATTCATTGACTGACCTTCGGAAGTTCACACTAGCACACATCCTGAAGCTACTCGGGAACAAGATCTGCAGGAGTCATTTCTGAAAGTGGAGGCCCGAAATACACCACGGAAATTTCATTGAAACGATACGTCAGGATACGACACAGTTAAAAGACAGTGGCTCGTGAGCGCAATACAACAGTACACTGAAACAGCAACTCGAGTACTGTTGGTCATGCCATGATATGGCTGCGATCTATATGTGCAATGCTTCTATGACTCAATGACTATGACCTCCTTGAAACATCCAGTGTAACTGCGCGATCTCCTATAGGAGTATGGATGCCTCCTGGGTGTTGCAGCATTGCTGGCCTCTCTCGGCAGATATATCTAACTCTGTATTTATGTATGGTTTAGTTTATACATACACACACACACACACCTGTATATATATGTTGTATATGTATTTCGATCTAACCCGATTCCTTTATACATCAGTCCTTCAACGATGCTGTTCTGCGCGGATCAGCTGCTTCTACATCACCGGAGGAGCCAGGGCTGGAGTGCCCCGAGGTCTACCGAGGCCCCTGGCTCCCACAGCGCCAGCCTCATGGAACACGGGTTTCGGCGCTAACGCTCGGACAATCCAGGCGATACATGTTTATAGGGCATAGGGTTTATACGGGTTTAGGGTTGTTTTCCCTCCTTCTTCAGGGGTTTCGGGCCTAGGGCTTTGAATTTCGTGCACGTTCGCGCTTCATGCACAACCGAGGGCCATTCACTATGGCTATGATGGCTCCCACTTCAAGAGACCATGCCCCACCCTAGGTAAGGGAATCTCACTTCACTCTATAACATAGGATTGCCACACATCCACGAAACACATTGGGCCACTCGAGCGAAGACGCACAGTACGGGCCCCTCGTAGGTTGACAAACCGTTGCTCAAGAATATGTAGGACAGCATTATCCTCACATGCCAGTTCTTCAAAATGCCAACAAACGCCAACCATGCATCCCATGAACCGGAGCAGCTGCAAAACATGTCATGTAAGCGACCGAAGATGACCTTGCTACCCATATACCGGCTCCGTGAGGGCACATCCTTCACCAGAACTTATGCGTCACATTTACGTGCCGAAGATTGAGCCGCTACCCCCCTGCTGACAAGCAGAGACACGAAGCCAGTCTGTCCACGCTGGAGAGGACAGGGTTTCGGCTGTGGGGTTCTTCGTGTTGAGGCATATGGGGTCTCGGATGTTGATACTCACCCTCGGACTCCAGAAAAGGCTGTTCGAAAATAGGCCAAGGAACTCTTCAGGTAAATGAATTATGCGACACTAGGACAGGCCGTGCAAAACAACAACACGGCTTTTCTTTTCTCCGTGGGCAGGCCGAATGTCTTTGGCCACAGGAGCCGTTTCTGAGGATCCCAAGATCCCTCCTGTAGACAAGCACCCAACTTAGCTTTGCTATGTGGTCATCGGAATTCTGGCTGGCCAAGAGCAATTACTACTGGAGGCTGGCCATCACTGATTTAATGTTCTGGTTTTACGCTCTTGCTCTCGAACGTTCTGGGGTTCGCATGTAAAAACTCAGGATTTCGGGTCAAGGTGTGATCAAGGTTCGGGGTCCATGCGGCGTAGGGCTTGGAGCTCGTGCGTAATTACTGGCACGCACTCCGTCGAAGCAATGTCCTCAGTGATAGCCATCTCAGTATACGGGTCCTGCTGGGAGTCGACCTTCAGTGGACCCCCAGCTCAATCATGCACTTCTCACTGCACGCCACCGTCGCGATCCTTCACGACCATGTATAAAGCCACCGGGAGAGCAATCGCCGTCCACTGCGAACGCATGTCTCCCAGCACCGCCTGCATCCAAACTCTGCAACAGGTTCCACGCTTCGTATTGTAAGGACGGCTGGTTGCTGTGGTTTTCCATGGCCCTCCGGATGTCTGCGCGCACACCCATAGATAATAGCTCGAATTGCGTTTCCGGGTCGAAGGCCGGTGCCAACATCCGAAGTGCGAAGCACGCGTCGCGCTGCACATCCATGTCGTTGGGATGCTGACGCATGCTCTCGACAACCTCTGCGTGGCAACCATCCCTCACCAACTCCTTCCGGAGGTGATCATCGCAGGCGAGTTTGGCAATCAGTCCGCACGCAGCTGTTTGAAGCAGGTTGTCATCCCGATGCTTCGCCTCCAAGTTGCCGACGATGTGCTTCAAGTGTTCCAACATTTTAGCACGAATGTCCTTGTCCGCGACAAGAGCTTCGAGAGTGAAGCAGGCATATCTGCGGAGGAAGTGGTCTTTCCTCTGCATGCACTTCAACATCATCCCTGGCCCACGCTCGGCGAAAAAACGCTTGTTCTCAGCACTGCCCACCGTCAAGTTCAGGATGGCTCGGCAGGCCCCCCTTAGCACCGGGGCATCGTCTTGCTCATCATCGATGTGCATGTCCACAGCGGCAAGGACTGCCTCGCCCGCACCCTCAGCTATCAAAGACTCCTTCCGCTGTCGGCTCTTGTTGTGTGCGAGACGACTGACAAAATGACAGACGTGGCCAGCCATGTCGTCGCGAAATCCGTCACTCTGGCGGTTCATAGCATCGAAGATTTTCTTTCGGTCCGCGCCCTCATCCAAAGTGAAATTCGAGTAAATGACCACTTCTAGTGGCACGCGCTTGTCGGCAAGATCGGCAAGTTTGATGGCGTCTTCTGACAGAATCTTCGCGAACGGAAACTCCTCCGAGCACGTGACAGGATATGCCGAACATGTCCTTATGAAGATAAAGAGTCCGTACTTTACCACATTGCAAACGAGCAAGCCGCAGATGATGTGGGGACGCTCCAAACAAAAATCATACACCCTTTGGGTGTGGAAGAAGCAAACGAAAGCAGTGCCCAAGACCAGCTCGAAGAAGTGGATCAACACCTGGAGACGTGCAGAGGTGCAAAAGACTGCTTCGGAGCCTGCCAGGAGCATGGGCTCGAAAGCACCAATGGTGTTAGGCACTGCCCACAGAAGCTTCTTTGGGTTCCGGGTGCTGTGATACACC